CCCCAAAACCCCAAAACCCCAAAACCCCAGAATATATGATACATTAATAATTTTAGTTAAAGAAATTAAACTTAAAATTTATCATTATGACGATGAGTATTTTCGACTATCACTATTAGTTTGCTCTTTTTTGGTCTTAATAGCTAGGAATTAAATCTTTAAACTTAGTCAAAACTCTCAATAATTGGGTATCATACCAAGATTTATTACTATCCTCAATATCATTATTAATCAATATATCAGGCACTTATTTTTATTCTGCTTTCTTCTCCAGGTATTAAGGAATAATGAACACTGACATCACAACTATAGTTTGCTCAAATCAATTTTAAATCTTACTCAAATACAAAGTTAGTTTGTCCCCAAGATATCTGGATAGCTAAGATAGATATAAGAACGAGCATGCTTTCTGAAATTAATGAATTAGCTGAATTAATACTTACAATAATAGATTTGTTTTTCTCTCTCATTTAGATTATATTCCTAATGTACTGAATTATCTTATTTAATCCCACGTAAATCAAAATAAACAATTATTTCATATTCTCATCCTCATGATCATTTTGCTCTTCTTTTTACTCCTTATCTTCAACCTTACGCCCTTTTATAATCCTCATCACTAATTTAATGATTATAAATCTTGAGACCAAATTGGTTAAGGAATTGTCTCTGACAATATAAAAGTAAAAGAATATGTGTAGAAAAGCTAAGTATTTTAAAGTAACTGTTTTGTTCTACCAAGTTATAATTTGATACAAATAGTTGTCAAACAGTTTTTACTGCTATCTTGGTGATCCCTAATAGTTTTCCATTGCAATAGTTTTATTAAAAATGCTTTAATTTATTATAATAAGAACAATTAATTTAATCTTGAAATGGACGTGCAACGTAATCCTTTACTCTCGAATAGTTCATTTAGAACCTCTTATTTGAGTTCATAAGGAGAGTAAGTTCTAAAAAGTTCGTAATTACTGAACAGAGAACTGAGCGACAGGAGAAATCAAACTCAGCAATCATACCAGTTTCAGAGTAAAACTAAAATGCAGTATGAATAAAGCAAAAAGCCGTCTCCTCTTATTCAATCTCAAAAGTTAGAGCAAATAAACAACAGAATGAACTATTTAAAAACACCATAGATAATCATGAATGCATAATAACTACAAGACAAGTATGAGTTTAAAAACAATAAGTATATCAAGATTGAAATACCAGAATCCCATTATAATGGCAGGAGCAGTTATGACTCAGTCATTATTAAAGAACCAGTAGAGTTAATAAAAAATGAGAAACCATTCTCTAAACTCAGGACTGAATATAATGATTTTAGAACGAAAAAAGATTATTAAACTTAACTAACTACTTACTCTGAGGACAGAAAACCTCAGCCCCAGCTCTTTTCATATTTTTATCATGATATGGAAAAAGAGGAGAAGGAGTATGTTGTACCTAAGAAATTAGAACAAAGAGTGTGCAAATATCACTCTGAACCAGTGATCATGTACTCATTGCCTTATGCTAGTTTTATATGCTAGATGTGCTATGATACCTATGGAGATAAGAGTTCTTGTTTTGCTCTCAGCGATTTGTAAAAGCCAATGGAGATTTAATATGCTACTCTCATGAAATTTATAGATGAGGGTAGAGAGCCTAAAGTGTAAAAGCAGCTTATGGAGCATAAAGTGTACCTTGAATAAGTCAAAGAAGATAGGTATAAATATTTGACAGAATTTGAAAGGGCCTTGATTGATAAGTAAATCTAAGAAATTCTTTTTGACCTATAAAAGTTTTGGAGAAAAATTTAGGAAATGTAGATATAATATAGACAACTGAAATAGATTAATGATTTTGAGACTATATTGTTGATGTATTAGAGATGGTCATCAATTTGCTATGATTTCAAGGATAAGTATCTCAGCTTTGATTATCTTAAGAATCTAGTTGATAGAAAAATAGATCCAATTATGAGGCCTATTGCTTTAAAAGTTGGAGTTTGCTATATGTGTATGAAAAATCCAGCAGTTCTAAGTTGCAATAATGTTTAAGACTAGCAATGCCGAATATGCAAAGAATGCAGTAGCTTTTGTACAAATCATGGATATTATTGTAGGATGCATGCCTAATACTATGGATAAATTGCTGAGGATAAGCATTATAATGGTAACTCTTGTCAAATGTGTAAATATGAAAATATCCAATTGTAATGATTTTAATTTTGAGATTTAGTTACTTATCAGAAATGTCATTATCATTTAGGGGTTTTGGGGTTTTGGGG